TATTTTTTGGAGGTTCGAGACCCCCATAAATATTTTTTTGGAGATTCGAGACCCCCACAAATATTGCACTTTCTAGAGGTTTAAGACCTCCACAATATATTTAACTTTCTGTCACCCATAGACCCCCACAATATTGATCACTTCTTGGAGGGCATAGACCTCCACAATTTGTTTATTATATTTAAAAAAAAATGAGCTTACGAGAAATGATTTTATTTAAATAATAAAAGACATCAATTTCAAGTATAAATTTATTTGTTATTTGAAAAAAATTATACTTTAAATCTTGTAAGTTCCCATTCAAAAGGTTATAAAGCCTCCACAATATATAGCTAATGACAAAAGAGCCTGAAAATGCTTTTCTGGATCTCCACTCTCCTCAAATTCCTGAACCAATTCAGTAAATCATAGTTACAAACAATTCCATCCAAACAAATGCTTTGAAGAAGAGCTCCCAAAGGAGAAAAGCAACCTTGCAACGTGTTGGATGCACACCCACTGTGCAGAAAAGTCGTCCTATAAAAAAAACAATAAATCATCAAATTACTGAAAAGCCACAATCTGCATTTGAAAGTCATATAGAGAAAATGACAATAACATGACAAACCATCTGTTTCTGCAATTGCAAGCGCTTCTCTTGATTCCTCAAGTGACCCACCAGTTACCTGCAACACAAATAGCAAGTCCTGACCGTAAACCACCCACACATAGAACACAATTTACATTTATGGGATCAAGTTGATAACTTTATACAAACAAACAGAAACAAATGCCTTCATTTTGAGCAGAATTATCATTTTATACCGCCTCTGTACAAGGGAATCACCCCTTCAGGCTCTGGCACTTTTTTAGCACAAGAATTCATATTCATTGCCTTAAATCACAGAAGAATAAATCGTGTTAATTGGTGCTTGAAGTTCTATAGGATAATAGGGTTTCAACTTTTAATTTCATAAACTAACTTTCAAGCCTGAATTTCACTTAATCTTCTCAATTAATAATTAAAGCACAATAATGAACCCTCATAATTAAAAATTCACATTATGGATTTCAAAGCTTCCTCGACAAATAGACAAGTAATTTATATATTACGAAAGAGGAAAAGGGTATACAATAATTCGGTGGACACCAGCAGCCCAAGCCCTGCTCAAAACCGTTGGTATATCTGCGACGTGACATTGCTTGCCGTTATAGATTCCCTTAAACATGCCATCTGCACTTTTGAATTAGAGAGAGAATATAATAGAATAGAATACATAAAACAAGTGTTTGATTAAATTCCTGACCTGTGAAGTTGACGGCTATATCTGTAATTTCTTAATCTCTTAATTAAGAAATTAAGAAAATAAGAAAATTAAAAAATTAAGAAATTAAGTATATTATATGTGTGAGTAGAGTACAGTACCTAATAATATAAGTAGCAAAGAAAGGATACTCACATAATATAATGTGGTTGGAACCAAAGTCACATATGACTCATTCAATGTGATGACCTTCAAGCGAGGAACATCAATAGGAAATGGAACAACACCTAATAATATGAACTGAAATTTAAATGCATCAGATTTAGGAGAAGCCTAGTTTACCAAACAACAGAAGACAATTTTCGTATGCAACCAAGTTAAAAAAATGGACGAAAGTAGCAATCAATCAAAATGATCAAATCAAAATCCCCATCTTTATTTCTTATCCAATAATTCAACATTTATGTCCATTGTCACAGGATATGTACAGTATAGCTCAAGTTCTCGTCCATAACAATATACATTTCAACTATAAGAAACAAAGCAATCAAGTTATAATATTTTTCGAAATAAATAATTTTAAAGAAATAATTTCACAACATCAATATTACGAATCAAAATTTCAATACTATCAACCAATGCACTGAACAAGAATGAAATACAGTATAATCAAATAACCTAATTCAAACACGGTGTCGGTGGTGGAATTGAAGTCATCGAAGATGTCCTTTGTTCTTTCAACGGTCTAATATATGAGGTAAGGAAGCACAACTGGACTATCATCCTAAGACTAAAAAACTTGCAAGAGACATAAACAATAGACTCCAAATTAATGCAGTTCAAACTCACACCCTACCTCATGCAATCTCATTTTTTTTATACTCTTCTTCTCATCCATTCCCTCTCACATTCACTGTCTTGAAACATCCCAAATGAATTATGAAACAGAGAACCCTCTTCTCTTCTTCTCTTATTCACTCATACATCATCATAAATGGTGAAACGAATATCAACATTTATATATTCTAATCACAGGTAAGAAGATAGGGACTCACGACGGCAGTGGCATCGTGCAAGACATAACTGATGGTCCACATAAGTGATGGTCCACTCGCCTCTTTCCTGAACACAAACAATCACAAAATCACAGTAAATCTCATTGAGTCAATTCATCGAACACCTCATTCGCAAAACACAATTACATAAGAGAAATTAGAAGAAGAAGAGAAACTCCCAGTAACTCCCATTGCTTGAAAACTTCCTGAGAATCTGCAAAAATAAATGAATAAACTTAGGAAATTACTAAAAAATAAAGAAGAAGAAGAAGAATGAAATGTGTTTAACAAGCATTATGAGAACGATAAGAAAACAAAGATAGCTCACTCTTAATGCGCGAAGCACCCATGGCATGTCGAGCACTTGCTAATTCCATCGAGCAGGTGGCTCAAATATCATTTCACAATCATCTTCAGCTTCACGATCTCACTGGATATTAGCGATGCTGAGAAAAGCGAGGACCAGGTTGGAGCAATTTCAAATTTGAAACATGAATTTGAAAATTTTGAATCTGAAAAAGGAGATATGTAAAATTCAAAAGTCTAAGTAGTAAACAATAAGAAATTGAAGCCGAGTGAGTTACCATAACTCCAATGACTCTGGGTTTCGAAGCATAGGAAAATGAAGTTATCTGTGAAGAGAGAAATCTGATAGTGAATGTTGAAGTTCTGAATAAGGGGAGGAGACTTTGTAGCTGCTTAGTGGAGTTAGTGCTACGTTGCTGTACACAAATTTTCTTTTTAAAAAAAAAGTATAAATTTTTTAAAACACCTTTTTGCATTTCATAAAATGTAGAAAGAGAATATAAATTATAAAAAAAAAACTATTATGCATTTTTAAGCAATTTAAAATAGCAAAACATAATATCAATTTGCGGAGGTTTAAAACCTGCCAAAGATTACATTATTTAGTGGAGGTTTTCTTAACCTCCACTAAAAAACCTCCAATAATCACCCATTTTTTTGTAGTGTATATATATATATGTGCCTTTGTGGCGTGGATTTAGGTCACTTGAAATGAACCAATGAAAAATAAGTTAAAAAATAGGCATAATATATGGTCTAGCTCCCAAATATGTGTGAATTTCCACTTCAGCGCGTGGCTCCTGGGGATAATGAGCATATTGTCACTTTTTAGGCAAAAATTTACCTGATTGCTACGCTTGAAATTTTTTTTGCCAAAATGCCACGTCACAATCTCGCTAGTCTGACAAACGGGAATGGACTGGACACGTGTCAGCGTCTGAATGGTCAACCATTTTTGCTGGGCTGCTCAGCTAGAATGACAGAATGCTGACATGTGATAAAAATACAGGCATTCTCTGGGTGTCTGTACTTTTGCCACGTGTCAGCATTCTGTCATTCTAGCTGGGCAATCCAGCGAGAATGGTTGACCATTCAGACGCTGACACGTGTCCAGTCCATTCCCGCTTGTCAGACCTGCGAGATTGTGACGTGGCATTTTGACAAATTTTTTTTCAAACGTGACAATCAGATAAATTTTTATTAAAGAGATGGCAATATGGTCAAAGTCCCTGGCTCCTGACCAAAATGTACGGAAAGTGCATAAGGCCATAAAGTGAATGTAAAAGATTAAAATGACAATAAAAATAGAAGCTTTTGATTAAAAAAATGCACAAAATAGCTCCACGCTTGTGGGAGCTATCATGTGGTCCTTAAGGTGTTAAATAATTTTTTTTTTATTTTTTCTAATTTTTTTTTTTTGATGACATTTACATTACTTTATAGGTGTCAATGACATTTACATTACTTTCGATCGCCCCTTTCGAAATTTTAAATTTTTTATTATTTTATGTATAAAATATTTTTCAATAATTAATAATAAGCTATATATTAGTACTAATAGTTAGCCCCTACATAAAAAATATTTATATTAATTAGTTTCTTTATTAGTCTTAATAATATTTATAACTTCAAATTTTTTTTCCCTCGTATTATAAAAAAAATCTTGGGTTAGTTACGGAATATTATGAATCATCGTTCAAATATTTAAGGAAATCATCAATATTTGAATCTTAAATTAAGTGGGACTTTTCATTTATTTTTTCATCTCCCACGAATTCTATTAAACTCGTGTTGATGTGGTTGAATTCTGTATCATGCTCCTAAGCTTGAGCTAAATTACTTTAGTAGGTTTGGGTGAGATAGAAGTAGCCTTCTTTGCCTTAGGTTAATCTTATGATGTAATTCGCTCTTCTTTAATGAATTATGAGTTGTTTCTTGGTTTACTAGATTTGTTATCGTGAAACCCTTTGCCTGTTAACAACGACATTTGTAACCTCTTCTAAAGTAATGTGGAGCACCGACATAAACCTTAGGATTAAACTACTAATTGGATATGAGGACATGAGTATCTGAGTATTGTTTTACTTTTTATAGAAAAAAAAAAGAATTATAAAAGACAGAGGACATTACAAAAAGAAAGATGCAGACACTGCATTTTGACAAAACAAAAACCACACGTTTTTTACAAGAACCACAACCTCTAAAACTAATTAAAAGGAACCCATACAAATCCACAGGAATTGTTGGGACAGACCAATACAATACACTCCAAAAATTCGATCCCAAACGACTTATTACAAAGAAAAGTAACTACAGAACAGTACACAAAAGAGACAAGCTACATATACAGCCACTGAAATTAAGTAAAAGAATGCAAACACAGCGTTATGTTTACTTAATCATTCCTAGACACACTGCATCTACATAAAGGACATGAATTGCGAAGCATGAGCCACTTAGTGATGCAATCCCGATGAAACACGTGTGAACAAGGCAAGCCAATTGCACTTGAACCAATCTCCCCGAGACAAATAGAACAGTCGGTGATGGAAGAAGACTCTGCTTCAATCGTGACCTCTTCAAGATTTTGAAAAGATCTAGAGTCTTGTGTTGTTGTGGACTCTGCTTCAACTGTGACCTCTTCAAGATCTTGTGTCGTGGACTCCATTACCCTTGAAACTCCACCATCCAAATCGACAGAATTAAAGACATAAACCCTTTCTCTTACATTGTTTTGCATGTTGTGGTTGTAACCCAAGTCCAGCGAATCCAAGATGTAAACATCATCTCTAACGTTGTTTTGCATGTTGAGGTTATTGTAACCCAATTCCACACGAGATTGGATCCTGCTGCTTTGCATGTTGTGGTTATTGTAACCCAATTCTCCACGACTACGAGATCTGATATTTCTTTGCATGTTGTGGTTGTAATCGAAGCCCGATGAATCAAAGACCATAAGCATCTCCTCTCGTTGAGCATTCAAACCCAGAATCGGCATTGAGAAAGAAGCCATTCTTGTTTTCTTGGCAAACAGATGTAGAGAGAGACAGAGAGAGATTTGTAGACAGAAAGAGAAAGAAAGTTTACTTCAAGGGAGATGAAGTGGTAATTTATAGAATTTACAACTCAGTACTTGTGCGTTCGTTAGCTGGATTTTTTAAATTTAAGATTGAAATTTGATTTGATTTTCATCATAATATTATTTTGATTTTTTTATTAACGTTGCAATGACTACTTTTAGGTGTCTTTATTGACAGTTAAATATTTATAAAAAGAAATTCTACTTTAATAAAAAAATTCTACTTTGCATTTATTACATACACTTATTAGATTTATTCTTCGTGATTTTTCGTGATTATCTTTTCTTTTTGTTTTCTTAATTTTAATGACCTCTTTTGTGTTTCTTTATTGAAAAGGGAAATAATCGAAATATATATGCATTTATTATACATAATGAAAAGTTGCAAAAAAAAATTTGTGTGACGTTGTTGACTTGTTGTCTTCTTTTCTTGTTTTAATTAACAATATAACATTAATTTGTCACTTTTATTTCTACAGTTTTTTTTATTAATTTCATTAGGCTTTTTATTACGCTTAATTGGCATATAAATGGGAAACACCTTTTTTTTTAAAAAAAAATAAAAAAATTATCTACTGATACCATATTAGTATAAGTACGAACTTGAATTAAGTCTTCACCTGGGGATTTTCATTGTTAAGGTTTTCGAAAATGTCTTCATTTAACTTGTTTGCATTAACCTGATTTAATTCAAAGAATACAAAATGAATCCGGATTAGTCCCGTAGCCGGCTCAAAGAGTCGATGCTCGTGGGGATACCGGAGGGAGCCAACTCGTCTCAAAGAGATAATTAGGGTTGGGTAACTCCAAAAAAAGAATACAAAATGGATTTTATTTATCTCATGTTATGAGTGTGTGTAGTGTAGGGTGTTGTGTTCAATTCCTTGTAACCTCCAAAAAAATGAAATAATTTTTCTACATACACAAAAAAGGGTGGGTCCCACCACTTTTTTTTTTCTCTCTACTCTTACCTGTGGGTTTTACTTATAATTTTATTTCTACAATCTACGGTAACTATTTTCCTACGACATAAGAAAAGTATTTCCCTACAAATTAAAAAAAACATTCAGACAGTTACGAATTGCATTGATTTTCCCTTGATTGAACAACCCAAAATTCAGTTATTTCCACTACATTAAATCAATGTTATAAAAATTGGATCGACCCGGCCGGGTCGATCTGAAAACCGGTCATGTAATCGATTCGATTTTCATATTGAACCGGTCATGTTACAGAACCGGTGTGACCCGGTACGACCCAGCCGATTTTCGTAAAAACCAGTGACCCGGTCAGTTCAACCAATGACTCGGCCCGGTCTGTAAAAAAAAAAAACTAATTTATTTTCATAAATTAATGTCTTTTTTTATTTTTTACTCTCAAACAGAAATGGTTTGTTTTCTTTTGAAATATTTGAGTAATTTGTAGCTTATTAACTTACATAGATTATGTACCTACAATACTAATATTATTTTGATTATGCAATATGCAGGAAATTTTGATTTGATTTATAGTTAGAGATGTCATTTACTGAACCTGAAACACTAGTATCACAAATATTATATGTTTGATTGATCTTTTGTTGGACAATGATATGTAATTTATTATTTTTATATTAAAATATTTAAAATTGGTATCATTTTTGTTACAAGTATTTAAGTATATTTATAATTTTTTTAATATAAATTATAAATTTACCTATACTTACCAGGTCATGTGGTTGAACCAGTGACCCACTGGTTGAATCAGCGACACAGTACCTCGACCGGGTCATTAACCGAGTCGAGTTTAATAACATTGCATTAAATGATCTTTTAAATTGGTCAAGACTATCCAGTTTATGGCCACTTCTCTATGGTACCAATTGTTGCTTGCCTCATTGAATTTGCTTCATTAATAGGGGAACAGTGACCAAAATGTCACTGCTCACCAAGTTTTTTACTTAAATGCCACGCGAACAGTGTTATTTCCAAATCTGCCACGAGGCAAGTTTGCTACCCGGTGTAGCGAACTCGGTTTGCTGACGTGTCACGTTTTTAGTGGACACCAAGTTCGCTACACGGGGTAACGAACTCCATACTTTTTTTTTGACTTGGTACTTGTTATCCACTAGAAATGTGACACGTCAGCAAACCGAGTTAGCTACACCGGGTAGCGAATTCGCCCCCGTGGCAGATTGGGAAATAAAACTTTTCGCGTGGAAATTAAGTAAAAAACTTGGTGAACAGTGGCATTTTGGTCGATGTTCCATTAATAGGAGCACAATTCGACTTTGATCGTTATGGACCGATGCCATGATCTCACAATATACATACTATGACTGAATAGTACTTCGGTACAAAGATTTTTCTGAATAGGAGGTAAAAAAAGACTAAAAAGAAGTAAAGATCTTTTTAAAAAATTTGTATTATATAGAATACAGAATATAGAATAAAATTACATAATTGATCAAAACCAAAATTTAGTTCTTTTTACGAGCTTAATATGTTGATAAATGTGCAGACCTAGAAATTCAACCTGATCACGTGATTCTAAATGTGATTTTTGATAAGTAAGAAATAAAAACTAATTTATGTTATAATTTTTTTGTTTAAAAGATATTCTATTTAGCTTATAAGAAAATAATTTCTTTAAATAAAATTTTGTGGAGTGGACTTAGGTCACTGGAACTGGACCAATGAAAAATAAGTTCAAAAATACGCTTAATATGTGATCTAGTTTAATATAGTAAAATATTGAAATTAACAGTGAAGTGGTTGCCCATAATGTTTGATATGATTTTAATCCTCTCATAGAGTTTGTGTAACTTACCTCTCTCTTTTTACCATCGAGATCACTCGACAGCTGAGTAGCAAGTTGTTAGAAGTTGCAGTTTGTCCCGTAAATTGTTTTGATAATCCTCCTTTGGATAGATTTCTTTTGATTTATTTTGAAACTTTTGCTAGCAGGTCTTTGTGATTTATTTGTTGGATTATGAAAATATAGGGAACATTTTATCAAATTTTCAGTAAATTTCGACATATAAATCGTTTGAAATTTATTTTGTTTAACATGGTGATGTAAAAGATAGACTTAGGATGACATGTTTACCTTAATTTTAATCTGTGGATTGGTTATAACTCAAAGTTCGGACAATGACATTTAGCTTGGAGAAAATTTATTAATACTCCTAACATTTTCTTTAGAATTAAAAATGACCCTAACCTTTTTTTCTTAATTTACACTTAATGTAAACATTGATACATTTTTGTTAAATTTAAATTACATTGTTAAATTTTATCATATTGTGACTATTTTGTTCTCCAGTTGTTTGTTAGTAAGAGTTTAGAATCAACTATAAAAGCTTAAGTAACTATTCCCTCCCCAAAAAATAAAATTTATACCAAACCCAATAATCAAATTACATTCACAATTAATCAAGAAAAGATATATAAGTTGTGATCTTGATGAGAATATATATATATGACAAAAATTATATTTACAAACTTTTTATTTATAAAATACACTATGTATTAGGGGTAGTATCTAGCACACAATCAGGGGCGGACCCAGTAGGGGGGCTAGGGTGGGCCCCGCCCCCTCTAAAATTTGGATTTTTTTTATAATATGTAGAAAAATGTGATTATGAAATTATCGTGTTATACACTTTTTTTCCTTCAGTTCCCCATGCTTCTGCCCACACTCTTAGGGTGTGTTTGATATAAGTTTTATTTTGGGTTTGATCAGTGTGGGTGGATATTGGAAAATATCACGTTTGGTTGAAGTTTTTGAAAAAAAAATACTAGGAAAATAGGAAAGCTAGGAAACGACTTTGATCTTGATTTTTAGGTGAAATTCAATTTTACAAAATACCACTTGAGATGTGGTATTTTGAGATAACTGAGAATGTGAAAAAACAGGTGCGAAGTTCCTCCCGAATATAGATTAGATTTTGTAAATTTAAATAAATTTCTTCGGTAATATTTCGGTCAACCAAACATCTTTTTTTAAATTTTTTCATCAAACTAACTTTTCTACCATTTTTTCAGTAATTATATTTCCCTGGTAATTTTTTTTTTCTTTTCTACCAAACGCTCTCTTACCCATATTTTTCCTTGAAAACATCATTTCATCCTCTCTCTCCTTTCCGTGTTCCATCAATCACCAACCTCCTTCTTCAGCCTTTCGATTTTGGCTGTATAAATTCTAGAGCCAGGCAAAATCAACTTCCACCTTCCTAAGATCATTGCATGTATGAGTTTTAGCACGGATCCAATTATATATGAGTTTAATAATATGAAAACACATAGAGCAAGAGTAAGTGAAGTGATATTAATTTCTGTACTAGATTTCTTTCAATAATTTGTAGAGTAAATACCTTTTTTGGTCCCTAACAAAAAACACGATCCCTATTTTAGTTCCTTACAAAAATAAATTAGTCAGTTAGTCCCTAACAAATTCAAATGGATCCATTTAGTTGAAATCGTGGTGCCTCACAAATTCAAAAAAAGACCCATATTAGTCCCTCAAAAGGACTAAAATGGGTCCACTTTGAATTTGTTAGGGACTAACTGACTAATTTATTTTTGTAAGGGACTAAAGTGGGACCGTGTTTTTTGTTAGGGACCCAAAAGGATATTTACTCTTTTTTGTATATTAAGCTTGTATTGTATTTCAAGTACTTTTATTTATGATATAGTATTTTTTAATTTCGCCCCCTTATTAAAATTCCTGCGTCCGCCACTGCACACAATATACTACCTCTAGTAC